CAACAGCAAGATTGTGTACAGACCAACCAGAATGCTGGATTCATGTAAATCCGATACTTTACTGAGTTAAAAATCAGACAGCTGAGATGTACAAAAATGAAGAAAAGCGGCACAGCCAATTTAAAAACCCAAAACTAAAAAATATAGGTTAAAGTATACTGCCATGGTAGGCATGAAAAATGTTAGTGGATGATTTATGCCTTACCTTTGATTGAAGTAGATTGAAGTAGATGTTTGCTTTGAAATTTTGAGCCCATATCAGCTTTTGTAGTAAAAGAGCATAGTATGTAGGGGAGAGCAGGGCACAACCTGACACATTTTGGTTTTTGCTAAAATATTTTAAAAATATTAAAGTTGGAATAATCATATTTTTATTCAAGCAAAATATACATCTCTGCTACAATGACCATTTGAAATTTGTTTCTAGCACCCACTGTTCATGTACAATTCCATCCAAAATAATAAAGCAATGTTGCAGTCTACCCCATGTGTGGGTTAATTGTAACAGACAGAGGGTTAGTTTGATGAAATAGTGCAAAGTTAATTCAATTCAATTTTATGTTGTAACCAACAATACTGTATTATATATTACCATCCTATAAGACAGACAGAGAGCTCAATTGTTAAATAGTTAGGTTGTTCTCCACGTTCCCCTACAAAATTCACCAAATTAAAAAAAAATGTTTTTGGCTTTGGAAATTAGTAGAAAACCACATATTCTATGTTATCAATAATGGAATCTCACTTTTACAGATCGCCACAGCTGCACCTTCAAACACTGGAGTGCTGATAACAAACTGAAGGCTTGTTATGTGTGAGGCTATGGCTGATAGCAACACCTGCTAAGCAGTGATTGGAGGGCTGTGAAAAATGTAAGAGCTTGGTGGAGAGCATTGCCATTTTTACTGGTCATAATACAATGACAGCACTCACAGAAAATAAATAAAATTTCATTATCTTCAAAATGCATCTTAATTAATAGTCTTTCTCCATTTGATTAGGTAGGCCAGTGATCGATTTAGATAGGTCCAGGCCCACACAGGCCAAATGTGGCAACTCCCTTGTCTTTAAGTAAACTTTTAGCCCTATAGTTAGGAACATACGGGTCAAAGGAAATTTGAAATTTTACATATCAAATTTTACATACCAACAGTAACTAGGAAAAATATGCATTATGTGTTATATGATGTATTATGTATTTTCTAGGGGAAAAGCAAGTGTACATTACAGTGGTGATGTATCTGATATGTTTGTAAGAATGTATGAAAATGTACTGTCTTTCTGAAAGGAAAAAAGCTCCTCGACTGCTACAACCTCTTGAGTAGCTACTCCATAACTTCTCACACAATATACACACTTGAGTCGCTTGAAAAAGTCTCTTTTGAGTTCCAGTATCTGCACTTCAGTAGTGTCCTTATTGTGGCCTTTTTTACTGGCATGTCATTGAGACACATTTCATATTCTGGCCACACTCTTCCCAGTGGTAGCCTACCATTTGGAAACCTCCCAGTGAGGCTCCATTTCCCCCCAGCCACCAGGAATCTCCAGCCAGAGCAGCTCTCTCCATGTGGTCCCCCACCACACGTCAGCCCCAGCTAGTGCCTCTGTCAATATGTTAATGTGACACTTTCGCAGAGTTACTTGGTCAGCAGGCCCACTATTTTCACTGACGCTCACAGCGCACGCCATACAACTGCACTTCACAAAACACCTGACAATGACTGATTTCCCTCCCTGAGCCAAAAATGTAGATTACTGAAATAAATCATAGGATTTATATTCAGTGGCTTTGAAATAGTTCTGTCTCGTCCGTTTAGAAGTGTGCAATCTTGATTCATCAGAGAAACCAATTTTACACATCTGTATGTAGAAGTTAGCGCACATAACCTTGGCCCATTTTGTGAGACTCATGTTACCTTATTCTAACTCCTACAAAGCCCACCAGATAAAGCAATTGTTTCACTTATCCTTCCTTTTGCTGCCTGCGAGTTGACTCATGTCACTCCCAGCTGAAGTTATCGAGGCTGAATCAGTCAATACCACCAATACAATCTCATGTTCAATGCTTCTGCTCTGATTGTCTGATGATTGCAGATGACTCTGGTCAGTAAACCAGTTCATCGACTTCAGAACACATCCTCTCACATACCGAATTTGATGCGAAATCACAGCAATTAACTTCATGTCTCTACCTAAATATATAAGACTAAGCTTTGCACAGCTGCATTTTGCTTTTCCACTTGAGCATGGGGTCTTTGTGTGGAAGATTGCTGGCAAGTTTGCTCCTGAGCAAAGCTAAGGTGAGTGAGAGAGGCACAGCTGTGAAGCATTCTAAAGGCTCCGTCTGCCAGCCTGTGTTTACCTGACACTTGGACTGACAGCAGAGTGATTGGAAATATCCACCATTCACTGGCGCGAGCCCCTGAGTGCAGGGAAAGTGCTTTTGTAGTCTGGCTGTAATGGCTCAAGTTTGAATTGAAGGTTGAAGGAAAATGCTGCACTCTGGCCACTCTCAGGGAGGAGCTGACACAGTGGAAATGATGCAGGAACAGTCAGAGTCTCCGAGCAGGAGCACACTGAACGTTTCTGAGCTGTTATCTCAATGCACTCTTTCTAATCTTTTAGCATTTATAGGAGCAACACCACCTCTGTGGGTGAAGTCCAATAGACATTTTCTCCCTTTTCCCCCTTCAAGATGTGGAACAATAAGAGAAATGTAGGAGAGAGGGCAACACAACTTCAACGTTTTGTATCTTTGTTCAATTATTTAAAAAATGTTTTGAGCAACATTGTTTCTTATAAAACAATTATGAAAATGTAAACTTTGTTTCCAGTACCTAACCTTTGAGTTGAAAGTGACGTGAGTGGAAATGTTAGAACGAACCCTGTGGGTAGGGTAAACTGAAACAGATACGTAAAGTTCATTCAATGCAGTTTTGTGCTGATTAAATCAAATAAGCTTTCCAATCCAAATAAATAAAACATATGCATCATGAATATGATTACTGAAGGGGGTGCAAGGGTCAAAAACTGGCACCTTTATTTTTGAGCACAAAATAAAAGAGCTTTTCTAAACCTGATAAAATTGAAAGTTCTTTTATTTACATATTATATGCTTTATTAAATTTACTGACTTTAAATGATGTGTGGTGGGGGGGTGAATAGCCTGCTCTCATTGTTAACTCTGGGGGATTTAGTTGTAACACTATGTTGAGCAGGCTGTACTTTAGCCTGGCTACCTCTCAGTATAAGCTGGTTATATTACTTATAAATAACGCTACAGAAAGGTATGTCAGACAGCTGTCAACTCACATTGATATGGTAGCATGAAAAGCGACCAAAAGCATGTTCTATATTAACCTGTGTATCTAGGAAAAGCCATGTTATGTTTATAACCCTTGTTGCACCCTGTTCTGCTCTCTTCTATATAAAATGTACAGTATTAAGACAATTATGACAAAGTAGAATTTACTCAAGCATTTTTAATGCATGAATGCATATTGTGAAACAACTAAATTTGCAAAATAGTACAATAAAGGCACTTTTACATTATATGGTCAATATGATTTAAAATAAAAGTAGAGTTTGATGCAATATATAAACATTGTTAAAGTTTCAAAACATAACCCAAACCCCCATCTCCATGGAGTCTATAATTAGGAATTAAGCTAAAGAAAACAGCCTGTTTTGAATTCATTGTTTTTGTGATGTCACAAAAAAATTATATTCATAAAAAAGATATGCATATATATCCACCTATTCAGCTTACAGCAGATCAGCATTTCACACTGACATGCTGAAGAGTGTTTCAGTAGGTCTGCTTTTTAAATACAGGGCTAGTCAGAACCAGAATCATTATGTATATCAGCCTTAAAAGCATAGTACCAAAAATGCATTGTTTACTTAGATAAAGAGAGGCTGGAAATGGTCATTTTTGACCAAAATTATTTTTGCTACATAAAACCAGACAAATATCACAAGCAGATCTTAAAGGGGTGGAGGGTGGGGGCAAAACATGTCCTTTTTTTTTTTTAGAAATAAACTAACAATTCCATCATGTTTCGCAGATGGTAGCAGATCCGATTTGTCTGTTTACCCCTGCTGTTTAACCTTCCTATCACATCAGCATGTCTATTTGCATCTCATCCAGTCATAATCCAAAGTTTCTTAGGTTTCCAGGGTTATCTTTGTTATCTGGTATCTTTCTTGTGCAGTTTCACTTCACCCATGACACATTTATGAAGTCAGGAACTTTCATTACCTGGGTTTGTGCAGAGGTAAGAGACTTAGGGCCTCCAGCGTATTGTAGAGTGGTGTTTGCAATATAACAAAACAGGAATGAATAAAATTAATTTGTGCAAACTGCATTCTGTTTTATTTAAAACATTAAATATGCTTTAACAACTTATTCAACATTTCATTTAGGCCCACGATTACAAGGAACTTACATTTAATATTATTATATTAACAAAAAACAATTTAATGACTACACAGAAAAAACGTATGCTTCAGATTGGTGGAGAATGTGCTGTATACCACAAAGAGTTGTTCTATTGTTACTTGACATGCTAACAATAGCAGAACCCTTTCGGTGCTATACAGAACCATAAGCAACACATTCTCCATCATTCTGGAGAACGATTTCAACATACAAAGAACTGTTTAAGCGTAGATCTTTTTCAAGTGTGTTGGAAGCTGTACAGGAATACAGGACCTAGCATATGGGAAAATAACACTTGGAACGCCACAATACTCTCCTTTAAACTCTCCCATGATTTCATCATTGCTGCCAAGGTTAGACATTATAAAGGTGACCACGCAACGCAAAGCGACGTTTTCCTGTTTCAAAATACAGGGAGTAATTTCGACGTGCAAAGTTTTAAACCTATAACTTGTCACCGTTAATGTTAAAGTTATACTGCCTGTAACTGTAGGGTAGATGAACAGGGCATGCAGTAGCTTAGGTAACGTTGGATGCCGTTCATCCCGACATATTAGATTTAACAAGACAAACAATAAACAACGTTGAGTTTCTTAGCCAACGCTAGCTTACTGCTACTGGAGCTATACAACAAACAAGGAAGAAAATAAGAGACCTCAATGTTATGGAGCTTTTGTGAGCTAAAAGACAGCCGACATTACAGCCCACACGCTCAAATAGATGCTGTTTTTAGCAGACTAGTGGCCAAAAATCACACAAATTAACGTAAAGCTTCCATCGGTTAACGTTTAAAACACTTTTTTCCGGCCAAGCTCAGTGTTTCGGGAAGCGGGAAATAGCGTTGTCAGAAAATGATTGACATGTCGTTTGGCCAATCAGAAGAGGATGTATCGAATACCGCAGCCAATGTTGTTGAAGAAGAACGGCGGGACATCCTGTGCGTGACGCAATTTTCACAGTCAACACTGGAAGCCCCACCTTTTGTGTTTCCCGCACCGTCAATCAAAATAGAAAAAATAGGCTCGAATCACCGATCGCAGCCCGCCTCCGTGTAATATAATCATGTTTGGCGTTTAATTAAGCCGAGATTTTTCCTATTAAAGTTATTCCCGTAATGACTGGTATGTAACATTCAGCACATTTTCCTTTGGGCGCTTTCCGCAGCCCTGTCTGAGCTAAGCTAATGCTAAGTATGCAGGCTGGGTTTGCTAATCTCTCTGTGCTAGCTAACTGTTAACATTAGCTAGGTTAGCCGGCTCCGGAATCGCAGATTCTCTTTGTCGAGCTCGTTCAGGCTCTCTTTGTTGTGATGCAGCGGTGTGGAGAGTAGAGCTGGTTGTGTGGCCGACTGAGCTGTTTTGCTTCGTTCCTCTGTTTCTGTTGCCTTTTCTCCAGCGCCTGAACAGCCTGTGAATCGAGAGGAAATGGCTGCCTTAGACGTGGACAGCAGTCAAAGCGAGTTTCCGCAGCAAGATGGTAGCAGGGGAGATCAGGTACTGTGCTCCGTTTCGTCTCTCTCGCTCCTCGGGCAGGTTTGTTGGAGCTAAAATGCATGGTGCTTTGTGAAGTTCACACGTTTTTAAAATTGTTGTGAAAAAAAGTGGTACTTCCTGTGTGGCTCCGCACTAACGGCCACCCACTTTCCCTGTGTTTAAACCCGCCCATTGTGGGTAGGACACGCAGCCGTCACCGCTCGCGCTGCTGGCAGCGACCTGCAGCGAGCTCGGCTCGCCGGCCTCCGAGAGGGAGAACGGCGCTGCCGCTGCTGTGGTAAGTCACCGCCTCCGCTGCTAAAGATGAGACTAGTCCAAAAACCAGCCACCTATTATTCCTGTGCTCAGTCGAATTTGACAAAAGGATCAAATTCAACCCTTAACAATTCAGCAATGTATATTTTTTGGTTCCAGTCATAATGGAAATGTGCTTCATTTACAGTACGGCTATATACATATACCGTTTTTAAAAGCTCCTTGTGGGTTGTAATCAGCCAATTACAGGCCTTCTGAAGGCACACTATAACTTTTACATTGTAATGTTATGAAGAGGTGAATTCTTGGAAGACTTCACATCGTGTGAATCAAAAACCACCATGTTTATTTCTATCAAACAGATCTGCTCATTTTCTTCATGTTTTCTTTGTTTGGATCATTTATGTAATTGCGAGTGTTGCTTTTAGCTTAAACTGTGCACCTGCATTTTGGGCCACATGTATAGTTTTTAACACGTGGATTAATTTTAATCAAATATACATGACTTTACCTTGTCTTGTGAGCCGTGGTTATGCTATAAAGTTTTGGTTTGTTTTCTTCCAAAACTGTGACATTTTCTCCTTACTACTTCAATAAAACGTTTTTCCTTCATTCCATAGGCAGCAGACCCTACATCAGTGCAGTTAACCAGCACATCAGAACGATGGGATGGAACCAAGGATGAGTCAGGCATTGTGCAGCTGCCTGGCACGGGCATAGTCACCTCCAATGGGCAGTATGTTCTTCCTCTTCAGGGCCTCCAAGGCCTTCAGAGCCAGCCCATCTTGCTAACATCAGGGACAGACTCCTCCGCCAACGCAGTGCCTAACATCCAGTACCAGGTTATCCCTCAGATCCAGACGGCTGATGGACAGCTGAGCTTCTCTACCTCAACGGTGGAGGGTGCCTCGCTGACTCAGGATGCCTCGGGGCATATCCAGATTCTCCCTGATGGCTCTCAGACCATCAGTGTAGCTGGTACTGCATCAGCTAGCATCCTCAGCAACAGCCAGAACCTCATGGCCCAACCTGGCCAGGTCCAGCAGATCCAGGGAGTCACTTTGGGAAGTTCAACCTTTAATAGCCAGGGGCAGGTGGTTGCTAACGTGCCTGTGGGTTTGCCTGGTAATATTACCTTTGTGCCCATTAACAGTGTAGATTTGGACTCACTGGGCCTGTCTGGGGCCCAGACAATAGCCACAGGGGTGACTGCTGATGGGCAGCTAATCATGACCAATCAGACAGTGGAAAACTCGGAGGGTTCAGAGAAAGCAGGAGAACAGTTGTCACAGCCAACGCTAGTGGTGAACAACACTAATGCAGCAGCAGACATGTTTGTGCCTACCACATCTTCCTCCTCATCCTCACAGATGCCCACCAGCACGATAGATGGCACAGGCGTGCTGACCCAGGCCACAGCGGTGCCCGAGCACACAGAGGGCTACCTCTCTCAGGGCCAGGTGTCGGCAGGGCAGCAGGTGATCCAGCTGCAACAGGTGCCTCTCCAGACCAGTGATGGGCAAGTAGTCCAGCAGCAGATATCTGCTCAGGGCCAGCAGCCTCTACAGAACGTACAGCTCATAAACCCAGGGACCTTCCTCATTCAGGCACAGACAGTCACACCATCAGGGCAGATACAGTGGCAGACCTTCCAGGTAGAGTATGGAGTGGATTGAGAGCATTGTAGTATTAGCAGTGATTGACAAATTAGTGTCTGTAATGTCATGTTGGTCATGTTGACTGTCTAAAATTTTGTGCTCTATTCTGGTGTAAATGTTCAGAATACAATAATGACATGAAATTATTTTGGATATTGACATGACCTAGTTGTTGTCATCAACAAGTTAACTTGTTTCACTGCATTTCTTCAGGTTCAGGGTATTCAAAACCTCCAGAACTTGCAGCTCCAGACAGCACCAGCTCAGCAGATCACTTTAGCCCCAGTGCAAACACTATCTCTTGGGCAGGGGGCTTCACTGAGCTCCACGCCTGTAAGCATCAGCTCTGGGCAGATCCCAAACCTACAGACGGTCACCGTTAACTCAGTGGGCCAAGCAGGGATCCATCTCCAACAGTCCGAGGACACAGACAGCCCTGGAGGTATTGTTGCTACTATATAGAGAACAAGGATGATGTCTCTGAGCATCAAATGGTTGGATATAGAGCAGGAATTCTGTTTTTTTTAAAACAGAAAAAGACATCTTTAAAGACATCTTGAAATCCTTTTAAACCCTGTCACTTCATGTTGCTGGTCGTATTAAGCATGATTCGTCGTATGATTTAGTTTCAAAGGCCAAATTCTTGTTTTCCCTTAATTTTTACCTCCATCATGCACCAGTGGGCAGGGAAAAATAATGTTAACTTATAATGTTTCACCTCCCCATCCTATCACCCCAATTGTCTTTTAGCAGAAAAGCTGAGCTAGCACAGAGACCCTCTAATTAGTATTTGACTTGGAAATACATCACAGTACAGAAGGACAATGCATTAGAGTTTCTGGTTAGCTTCAAATGTCCTCAAAACAGGCAGAATAAGGGCCAAAGACCAAATACTTAAAATAATACTTTGTTACATATGTGGAAATCAAATCCATGCAGTCCAGTTTACATTGAAACTAATGTCAAAGTTCGATTTTGGTTGCAAGTTATGATGAATTGAAAAAAAGCCTCTATTTATATATTTCTTTGTTTTCTGTTTAGATATTCACATTAAGGAGGAGCCAGACTCAGAAGAGTGGTCTCATGGTGGTGACTCCACTCTGAATACGAATGACCTGTCTCACCTGCGTGTGAGATTGGTGGAAGAGGACATGGAGGGGATGGGCCAGGAGGGCAAACGGCTGCGCAGGGTCGCATGCACTTGCCCTAACTGCAAAGAGGGCGGTGGGAGGTAACACTTACAACCATATTATGTCCAGACAAAAAAAACACATCATGACATTTCACATTTCAGGGTTCAGTTATGAAACAGGGAATGTTCCCTAACTGTTACTGTGATTAAAAAAAAAAAAAATAGTATTCTTACCAGCAGTTTTCATCTCTGATATTAAGTAACATTTCAGTCAAGGCAGAGTTCCATTACATTTGCAAGCCATTACAGGTCGGTTCCTTATTTTAAGTGCTTATTATCGATCAGTTCTATCTTGAAAAAGTCATGGAATATCTTACACCTTAGTGCTACTATGGCTAGCAGTTGTAGCCTCTTTAGTATGTGACAAACCACAGCAAGAGTAAAGTGCACTGTGTTTAGTTTTGCACAATGTAGTGGACATCATACACATGCACTACTGGCATTCTCAGCTGTGAACAAAGTAATTAGAGTTGTTTCCTGTTTTTGCCCTGTTAGTTTTTCTGATGTTTCCAGTGCTTTTACTAAATGTTCAAAATAAACATCCGGCCTGGTGCTTCTTTTAATCCCTGACTGTGACTTTTTATTGCAGGCTACGGTACTGAACTGAAACGTGTTATCTTAATTTGAGCGTTAGCTTGCTATGCTGAAAAACCTTACTGTACATCCTTTTCATGTAAACTCTGTGTGTCTGTATAAAGTTGTATGTGACAGTTGTTTATAACTGCCTGTAAAACTAATGCAGTAATGAATGTTTGGGTTGTAGGGGTTCTAACATGGGGAAGAAGAAGCAACATGTGTGTCACATAGCAGGCTGTGGGAAGGTGTATGGGAAGACATCTCACCTGCGAGCCCACCTGCGCTGGCATTCAGGAGAGAGACCGTTTGTCTGCAACTGGATGTTCTGTGGCAAGAGATTTACACGCAGCGATGAGCTCCAGAGACATCGGCGAACACATACGGGTACATACAAGCATACACACACACAGCTTTCTCTCTTTTTTTCATTCAATTTTTACACATTTGAGCACCACTAATGTTCCATGCACTGTGCCAATATTTGTTGTTTGATTATACTAAGAGGATTTGTGGCTTAGCAAAGTACATTTAACTCAGTTTTGTGCAGTGGCTTGCCATTGACTGAAGTGATTTGCTTAAAAGAATGTGGGCAGGTAGAGTTTTAGATTTGTATTTTATTTCATTTTTTCTTCTCTCATATCTCTTACAGCAATATAGGTACTGCAATCTAAATAATTGTGATGGGTTTATTTGTTGTGTACACTACAGTAATGCATACATACAAATTCCATGTTTTGTAGACTGTCTAATGGAAAATAAGTTAGCACATCCTTAAACTTAAATATAGCATTTGTCTTTAAATGTTAGTGCACAATTTCTGTTTTTGCTGATTTTGACACAGTAGGGAAAAAAACTAAAACATAAAACCTTTTGCACTGGCCACTTTTTCCCCCGATATGTTAAATGCAGAAAATGAACAGTAATTGTGTTCTTTAAAATGTGCAGAAGTGTGTTCTCTGTAGAGGATGCGTACTTATTTTCACTTAGAAAATCACCAAAACATGTCATTTGACCACACTAATCTGACCACATGACTGTATACTTGTATGCTCCAAGACAGTGTATGACCAAATACAAGAGCATCGCAATCCAGTTTTTCAAATATTACACTTGTTCCAAATGTCATTTAAGTGCCTGGCCTGAAGTAAATGACACCCGACACCTTTGTGACCATATGGAGCAGTTTCTTCCTTAAACAAACTTTCTTTTAACTGAATATGCAACACTAATGCTTGAAGAAGCTGTCATAGTTTGGTGGACATCTTTCTTGTTGATCCAGGCTAAGCTAGATTTAATCACGTTTGGTTTACTGAAGCCAGATTCTGCTGAGAAACTGTCTTTACATGCTAGAATATCACTGTTTTTCCTTGGGCCAATTTGAGCAGTGTCTAATTCAGGGAGTGTGCTGCATGGCAATGTCTTGTGAAGCACGGCAGCTATAAGCAAAACTTGAGACTTACCCAGTTATATAATTTGTAATGCAATCTTGTTGTTTGTGCCACAGGGGAGAAGAAGTTTGTGTGTCCGCAGTGCTCTAAGCGTTTCATGCGCAGCGACCACCTGGCCAAGCACATAAAGACACATCAGAATAAAAAGGGTGGAGGTGGCACAGTGGTGGCCAGCGTGGACACATCCGCCTCTTCTGACAGCATCATCACTTCAGGCGGTACCACACTCATCCTCACCAACATCCAGCCGGGAGCCGTGCAGGGCCTTGCTACGGTCAACGCTACCGTTAATACGTCCAACTCGCAGGATTTGCTGACTACAGCAGAGATGCCCCTGCAGCTAGTCACTGTCTCAGCCAGTGAAGCCACTGAGTGACCGACACATGGGAGCTGAGTAACCAAAGGGGAGGACATGGTAGACTTTTATGGAAGAACCACATTGTAGGAATGCAACTGAACATTTAATTTGGCTGCCAAGATTCAGTGGCTTCCTTTTTCCTTTCCATCATCCTCTTCGATTTCTCCCTCCTGGACCTTGACCATAGACTCCCCCCTCACACATTTATCCTGCTTTTTATACACACACAGATTATTCTCATTTACGTAAATATATACATTTACGTAAATGCATATATATATGCATATATATATTTTACAAATATAGAATATTGATTTATGTTTGTCTGCAGTCTTTTTATGGTGAGAGTGGAGCAGAAGAGAATCGTTTAATGTGGTTCCCATATAAAAACACTGAAATGCCTTATTTTGTATCATACTCTGTTGTGTACAAAAGTAGAGTTGCTGATGAGTTGTAAAGCAACTGTTTCAATGTGTATGTGTCTGAATGGGAGTAGTCTTTATAAAGGAAGCTGCAGATCCAGTAAATGGGAGGGATGTTAATCTAATGTTGTGGCTAGGTTAGGTAATGTCTTGCCATTAGTTGGCCACACCATAAGGGAGGTTTATCAATGTAAAACATGAAAGAACGCTAGAATGAAGTGTGCGACTGGCCGTTATGAAGTTCTTCATGTCCAAATGTGTCTTTAACTGTTGCTGATGCTTTTCTCTGAAAACATGCATTTATGATTTCTTCTATGTGGCCCTTTTGTTTTGTTTATTCAAATTGAGGCTTTGCAAGGCTCCCTCTCTAAGCTGAAGCATTGTGAAGAATTTTGCAGGTGGCAAAACAACAAAAAAAAAAACAATCAATGTAATTAAAAACTGTTTCTTTTTCTTGAACCTCTTACAGCTGATCCGATGTTATGCATTTGTTGTCAAGTCTTTTTGAGCAAGAAAATATTTATATGAGGCTTTGCATAGTAAACTGGTTTTGTGGTGTCTACATCTCTTGAATGAGCTTTTTAAATTTGTTTTAATATGTATAATTATTCCAGTATGTCACTTTTATAAGAGTGAGCTATCTAAACTGAATCGTAATCAGAATCATTGATATAAAATGGGCAGATTTATGTTTTAGACTGAGAAATCGGTGAAGTTTCACAGTGTTTGGTTGCATGAAGCGAGAATGATTTTTGTGTCGGACATGTCTGGTATTTCTCTTTCTGGGTTGTGTGTGGTGGTGTGCGTGCGTGTGTGTGTGTGCGTGTGTACAGTTGTGCCACATTCTGATCAGGTAGGAGTACTACGTTACAAGACCATTCTGCCTCCACTGTTCAAGCTGTTTGGACCAAATTCAATCAGATCACTCTCAAAATGCTTATTGATATGTGGACTGAACTAATACTTACACCATCTAACAAGCAAAGATTGTTGACTTTATTCTTTAGGTCAATCTGGTCTGTACAAGAAGTGTGGCGTTTTCATCCTACTGTATTACGATCTCTAGATTGACTGTGGTTCTAATGTGGTTCTGCATAATTTGATTGAATGAGGTCAGAGACGGTGGTTTTGTCTTTGCTCTGATCTACCATGGCCATGCTAGGAAGAGGCTGGGGCACTCTTGATCTAAGATGCATTAGAGAGAGGAAAAGAAATTGTCCTTTTCACACCTGTTCACCTGTTCATTTTACTCAGTTTGATAAAGAACTTTTGTAAAGATGACATCTTTTTATATACTGCCCAGATTGCTGAAGGACACTCTTTTTGCCCTTGGTATGTGTGTCCCCATATGCAGTTTGGTCTTCAAGTGATGGTGTAGGATTATTTTCCCCTTCATCTGTAGGGTTGTTTTGCACTTTCATATGAAAGATTATTTCATGTAATCGAGACATATGAATATTGAATTCTGTTGCCAGTCAGTTTTTGGGAGGTTTCGGTGATTAAAAACAAGAAGATTAAACATAATTATAATCCAAACTAAAGTACTCGATTTTGTTGAAGTTGTCATTACTAAATTGTAATTGATGAAACACTATTTTGTTTTCTGAATTAATGATTGTTTTCTTCTTAAAATTTGCAGATATTTTAATATGATGCCCTAGTTTGTGATTTTGTTCATTATATATAGCATTGTAACACGTCTCTTGTATTTTTATTTGGTTGTTTTTCCAAAAAAAAGCTTCAAACTATTGTACAATGCCCACTTTTGAGGGCAGCTTTTTATTTCACACTAAAATGACTAAACAGAACTCTGGTTGTCAGCTCTCCTATTTTCTTGCCAATTTGCTGATGTAAATATTTTTCTCTGTAGCTATAGTTGTATAATAATATTCATTTCAGCGTTCTAGGGATTACATTTATTTATTTTTTTATTATTTTTTTTTTTTATGAAACTCTGTTCCAAAAACAGTTGGGACAGTATGTGAAATAACAGATGATATTTTTTGTAAAACCATAATGACCTGTATTTAAACGAAAATAGTACGAGAAAAGATATTTAATGTTCTACTCATTAACATCCTTGTTTTTTGAAAATCTGTGCTCATTGTAAAGCTGATATTTCCTAAAATACCAAAAACGTTGGGACTGGAGCATTTTAAGACTAGGCACATTGAACAAAATCATGTTCGAGTATAAACATCCTGGAAAATTAGTGATGTCCTTTATGTGCAAGGATTGGTCGTGGCTCGCCGCTTGACTCAAAAATGTGTCAGCAAATAATCCAGCAATGTTCTTCAAAACTGATTGCAAGGGGTTTAGGTACTTTACCATTTACAGTGCTTAATCGTTAAAAGATTCAGGAAATTCAGAGAAATCTGTGTGTAAAGGGCAAGGCTGAAAACCACAACTGAATGCTAGTGATCTTTGATCCCTGAGAGGGCACTGTGTTAAAATCTGACATGTTTCTGTGATGAATATCACCACATGGGTTCAGGAATACTTTAACAAACTTGACAGTAAATACAGTTTGTCACTTTATCCTGAAATGCAAGCTCAGACTATATGATGCGCAGTGGAAGCCATATACCAACAACATCCAGAAAAGCCGCTGACTTATCTGGGCTTAAGTTCATCTGAAATGGACTGATCCCAATGGAAATGTGTTAACCTTTCAGATTGTTTATGGAAATAATGGACGTTGTGTTCTCTGGATCAAAGAAGAAAAGAATGATACAGATTGTTACCAGCGTAAAGTGTAAAGTTCAAAAACCAGGGTCCGACCAGGGTGGGGGTTTATTTGTGCCCATGGCATGGGTAACTTGCACATTTGTGAAGACACTAAATGCTGAAAGATAGATACACATTTTGGTATAACATGCAGCCTGCAACACATCAATGCTTATTCAATCATAACACCAGGCCACATTCTGCATGTGTTACAACAGCATGGCTGTGTAATCAGAGAGTGTGGACGCTAGATTGACCTGCCTGCAGTCCAGACCTGTCTCCCACTGAAAACGTGTGCCACATTATGAAGGGCAGAATACGACAACAAAGGCCCTGTATGGTGTGCAACTGAAGACTTCAACAGAAAAACAGTGCAACAGAAAAACTCACACCACTTTTAAAACTGGATCAGTTGCTGTCTTCAGTCCCCAAACGATCAAGTGTTGCTAAAGGGAAAGGTGAAGTAACACAGCGGTAAACATGCTCCTGCCCCAACCTTTTTTGGAATGTGTTGCAGCCATCAAATTTGGAATGAACATATATTTACAAAAAAGTTCATGAAAAACATCAAAATATCATGTTTTTTGTACTGTTTTCAATTTAATCACTGCTTTCTGTTTTTGTTAACATTTCACATATTGTTTAAAGTTTTTTGGAGGTTTGTAATTAAATATGTAAATATTGAAGGTTCATCCTCTTAGACCATGTAAGATTTTAGGATATTGGTGTGTCCTTCCTCAGAGCATGTGTTTCATCACCCTGCCTGTGTGTATTTCTTTCTGTCTTTAGTCTATCCCCATAATGTGTGTTTGCGTGTGTGTAACCCCTGGGTGTAGTCCAGCAGATGTCACTGCAGTCACAGCCGCAGAGGGGGAGGTCATCTGACCCTTGGACCACTTCCTGCCCTTATGTGGTATGCTTTAATGGTCCTGTTCAATATGTTTCCTAATGGGTAAGAAGAGGTTATGATGTGATAAGGCTGTAGAACACTATTTAGTGTGATAAGGTCAGGAAACTGTGATGAAAGCCAAGCGTACAATTTTACTAAGTAGTTCTGGTTAGAAGTAAATTCAAGCATAGTATACTTAGTTAACATTTCTGCAGGATTATTTTAGAATTTTTAATGGAAAAATAACAATATCTTCCTCTCATCTATCTTACATGTTGATAAATTATTAAATTATTAATGATTTTTTTTATTCTCAGTGCTTAAATTTCAAATTCTGGTCATTGTCTGAAGGCATACCTGAGTCTTCTGTTACTTAGATATTCTGTTATTCTTCTATTACTCCCTGCTTCTCTACAGCAAAAGAAAATCCCTGAGACTAAAACACTGACATTTTGAACAAAACACAGCATCACAAACATTTCAAGTTGCCTTTTTTCTCTGTGAAGAGGACTGCTTGATTGTGTGTCTACTAAAATCTTTTATCTGTCATATCAAAGTGAAAAGCACATGTTCCTGCATTAAAGTCAATTTGCAATAGATGAGATCCAGAGAAAAGCGAGTGTGCGAACGTTAAGAAAGGACACGTCCATTCCCTGGCACCTTTCATTTGCATAATTTAATGAATTCAATTCATTGTAATGCAATACGGAGTGCACGACGAACATGGAATGACAGTTTGAGTTAATGAAATGTGTTAACGGTATCATCATTTACTTGTATGTTAATTAGTCCAATTAATTTCCAGTGCACGGTAATCTGAATATTGTAATAGCGCTGTGCAGGCCTGCAGGAAGAGGGGGAAAGAAGGGCAGAGATGAAGAAAAGGGCGATTCAGGGTTCATGAATCAAAGCCTTACCTTTCCACTGCATGAACACAGCCATTACTGCAAGGTCTTGCAGGAGTTTCAGCCAACTACACTCCGCTATGGAGTCAGGATTCAGTTCCCCTGAATATGGACCAGCTATCCTGGCCTTCACCTGCATACTGGCAGATAAGACTCTTACAAACGCTCTCTGATAGGTGAGTTTTGTGTTGCGAGTTCTTTCTGACCTTGTGTCATGTACAGTGCTTGCTTTTTCTCTCCTGATAGAGGGATGAGGTGCAGAATGCTCTATATTGCCATAAAGGCAGCGCCCGCGGTGCGGAGAGATCGATTTTGGTCCTGCATGGAGCCCTGACCACGCGGCCGTACTGATAAGTGGAATTGCTCCAGTGCGGATGGAGGAGGAAAGGGGAGAGTTTCTGCTGGACTGCCCAGATAAAGGCTGCCATCTGGGGCCACTTCTCTCCAGAAGGCCTCCTGGGGGGAAGGTGGCTGGAACTGCTGTGTAGGTGAGGGCTACACTGCAACTCTCATCACTGTTGTGTTTGTTATTTCACTGTTTTTGTTCTTGTTATTCATGTCTTGATCAAGTAGTGCGCTGCTTGTTGAAAGCACAGTATATTGTGCAAGTATATTGTGTGAGCACCCAGATAGAAATAAATTGAAGATGTTAAAGGCAGAGTGGAACGTCTGCCTACTGATTGAAGATTATAGTGAGAGAATTTCATCTCCAGTTATTGGAGAGAGAGCACTCTCTCTCTTTCATATAAACATTTACATTAGGGCACAGCTTCTCCAACCTTGTTGAGATGTTAATGCCAGTGTTGCGGTATGGTGTTTGTAGAAAACAACGGCCAGCCTCTCAAGAGGTCCCAGCACTGGACAGTGGAGGAACACGACAGGTTTTAATTTAAAGGGAAAAGGGAATTCAGCTGTCGCAATTTTAGGTGTGATTCGAGATGGAGAGGTATAATTCCAAGTGTTCTCTTACATCTTTGAGGCTGTACGGGGTTTGTGGAGGAAAATGGCTTTTGCATATTCCTCCTTTGCTGGCCCACTCAT